CCTCAGCCCAACAACTACATAGTATATATTTATACTATTAAGAAATATAAGTAAAAGCCATTTATTTAGACAATTGGCAAAAAGCAAAAACAAACCAAACTCGTATACATATATAATATTATTTTTTAAAATCTGACAACCAGTCTAATATATTTTTAGAAACATACAGGTTCAAGAAATCAATTTAGCACAAAAATTTGATACTGTAAAACCTGAACACTTTTGGAAGATCCACCTTTCAAAAACACTTGGGTTATAGGGTATAACAAATCTTTTTTTAGTTTATTAACATCTGATTCTTTGTTTAAGTAAATTACTTGTAATGTTTACCAAAAGTCTGCCAAATTTTGTGAAGATACACAAGCTATATTAAAAGTTAGTACTATCAAAACTATAACAACTTTAAATGAGTACACAGTGGTAACATGGTCAGTCAATTCGACCGAGCCCATGTAGAGAGAGTTAAATTGTGGTAGTTTTAAGGCATTCTAAAAAAACTTTTGTGCATTATAAAATGCATATTTGAAAGAAACATGAATATCTTTGTGGACAACCAACATTGCTGCAAAAAATGTGAGTTTAGAGTGCCTCGCCAGTTGGCAGCAAAAGGCCCGAATCTAGACATGAGTACTAAATTTCTTGATTTTATGTATGTTTTTCTTATTTTTTTTTATTATAAGTAACTCAAATGTAAAAATTAAAAACTTAAGTTAGAAATGAAAAAATATATAATTTCAGGTAACATTATTTTTTGGTGAAGCACATTTTAAAATAGGGGGTCTTTGAATAAGAGATAAATTGTTAGGATTGAGTACAAAAAATAGTATAAATAGGTTGAATTTACAGGGATTGAAATCAGGGGTTTCAGGAAGAAAGTTTTTAATTGGATATTGTTATAGGCCACCTAGTCAGGCAGATGAAGTTAATGAGAAACTGTATAATGAGGACATGGTTGGTACTAATAAGAATTAAGAAATACTTTAATTTTAATCACTGAATAAGATTGTAGGGAGTCAAATAGGGCAGGAGGGAGACATATTCGTTAAAGTAATTCAGAATGGTTTTCTAGATCTTTAAATGGTTAAAAAGCCAAACAGGGGCAGATGCCATTTTATTGTTAACCTCTAACGACGATATGGTTACAGGAGTTGAAATAGGGGAACTTTGAAGAATAATTAGATGTGATAGTATGCAACATGACAAAATAAAAAAAAAAATTACATTTGAGTTATAATTTTCATACAACTAATTTTGAGGCCATGATATAATGTTCATAAGTCATGAATTGAGATAATGAGTTAATAGGAGAAGCGGAACGAATTTAGAGAAATTTTTAAATAAATTGCTTTTTAATTCAAAATAAGCATGTTCCTAAGAAGAGGAAAAGGGTAAAAAGGAAATGTTTTATAAGTTTAGATTAACAGATAAGTTTGAAGGTTTGCAGAACAATAGAAAAACCATGTATTTGGTTAAAAAAAAAAGGAAATTAAGAAATCAAACAGGAATTATGAGGAATAACTGTAAATTATGTTAAAGGTAAAAAAAATGTTGAAATGGGGATTGGGCCCTCAAAGGATGCTGATGGTATGAATTTTGTTTAAGACTATGAAATGGTTGAGTTTTTTTAAATTTTCTGTTTTCAAGAGAAGATATCAGCAATATTCCTGATTCTGAGCATTTTATAGGAAATACTGGTGTTGATATGTTTCAGTTAGATATTAATCCCATTGTATGAAGTAGAAGTGAGATTAAAAACAAACTCCAGGACCAAACATGGTTCTTGTCCAGAGTTTTAAAGGAAGTCAGAGATCAGGTCTGCAAGCCTATGTCTTTTTCATTTTCATTATGTCAATAAACAGTGGGGAAGTGCCTGGGGACTATGGAGTTACTAAAAGTTCCCCTTATTTTTAAAGGGGATCAGAAGAGTAATTATTGATCAAGTACTTCTGTAGTGAGAAAAACTTAGTAGACTCTGATTAACGCTTTATGATATCAATGAAAGTAAACATGGATTAATCAGAGGAAAATCTGGTTTAAATATTTTTTTTTATGGTGTTACTTATTATTTTGATGGTGCCAAGGATGTAGAGTTGGTGTACTGAGATTTTCTCTGTTCTGTTGCTAGTAGTAAATCTAACAGAATTTTAGGGTGTATATACAAGTTATATATAGGATGTCCCAGAAGTCTGAACCCATAGGGAAAATAGACATTATATTCTTGAACTTAAACAAACACATTTCCAATGTCAGTTGTACATATTTCAGGAAAGAAAATACCCTGATGGCACAGTATACCAAGAATTGATATGTGTATGGCTGTTAATGGCATTCAATTTGAATAATAAATAAATTAAAAATAAATTGTGTATTTTTCCCTCTGGGTCCAGACTTCTGGGGCACCCTGTACAAATGAATACTTAGGCCTCCCTTGGAATATTATGTACAGTTTTGGTTTCCTTATACAAGAAAGGATATTAACTTATTGGAAAGGGTTCAGAGGAGAGTTTGGAAGATGATTTTGGGTATGGGTTTTACTTTTCTAATAGGATGGGTGGTCTTCGAAATGGGTTATCTAGATGTGGTGGATGCTGTAAATTTTAAAAAGTTAAAGGGAGAATTTAAATAATAAGGAGGACAGGTTGGGTATATAGTTTAATAGATTAGACAGCCTTAATAGACCAACAGGCTCCTTGAATTTTATATCATATTTTCTTTCAAGGAAAGAAACTTAAGATATTATCTTACTGAAGTTTACGTAATTATCCAAGGGAAATGATAGGATAAAGGCCTCTGATTTCATTGTGCTAATTCTGAAAGTGATAAGACAAGAAGACTTGAAAAAGATAGGCTAGGCTCTAGTTAAAACAGTTTTATTTTCTGAACAGAGTGATTGATTTTTGGAATTAGTTGTCACTGGAAGTAGTGAAGTATTTAAAATTCAACTAAAGTCCCTATTTACAGGAGCTTATGAGGGGAAATGATTTCATGAACAATACAGTGGTTTTAAGTTTGTGCTTTCTTCAAGGATTGGAGTGCAATGACAACCTTGAATAGCCAAAGGGTTGTCTGTATATTAATATTTTAGTTTTTCAACATTTAAAATGGGTTTGAATACATTACCGTACTAGTACTAACAGGTAACGCATACGCATCAGTTTACTTAATGCTTGATTGACTTACCCCATCAAAGATAAGGTGGAGAGTGGTTTAAAAAGAACTGTTCTAAACTAGTCAAGCAAAATAACCTCACAAATTCACACGAGATACCCATAATTCCAAGGAGAACCGTTTCTAACTCAAATCAGTATTTTTCAATATGTGTTAATCTTCTCCTAGTACACACATGCAAGAACTAAACAGGCCACCTCTGAAAATGAGATCTTACCAGTTCTAGAAAACCCTTTCTTAGAAATACCACTTTTAGCTACAGGAACAGGAGTTTTTTTAAAACCATTGTGCTGTCTTCCTTCCTTAATTTTCACAGGAAAGTTAACATTATTTCTTTTCGTAGCTTGCCTACTTGACTTGTCACCAGAGTGAGCTGTTTCACTAGATGCTAATGTGAATGGGCTTGTATAAAATACTTTGTTATTCAATAACGTTAGTTCTTCCTCACAGTACTCTTTCCATTCAATTTCTTCTTTCCACTTCTGGAACTTATATTTAGCTCGATGGTGAACTTCTTGTAGGATCTCAGCTGACAAAACTTGAAATTTTACATGGATCACTCCACTAGTGGGATTCTCTTCTTCAACTAGTGGGATTTTTTGGATTGTGACAGCATTTGGTTTAAGACTCATCTCATGAGATTTCTTAGTTCATTCTCAACATAAGTGATGGTAGACAGCTAATAAAAAAACAGCAAATCAGTAATGATGGAAAAACAAAGTTCATAAGCTTAAAATTAAGGTTGGAAGCTATTCACAAAAAGTACAGTTATTTTTTTATACCTGGACCATTAAGGATAGTAATGATAGTTTCAACATTATATGTAGTAATCAAAACCTTTAGAAACATATATCAAGATTCATTCTTAGATATAATTCCTTCTTTTTAAGAATTACTATCTCATGGAATATATTATTATTATTATTACCACTTACATTACACTCGAAGAGATTTAAACTACACATATTGTTCCTTGCTCCCCTATTGTTTGGTGATAGGTAACATATAACTGTAATAACACAGCAAACTGTGGTGACATTGAAAAGAATATAAATAGTAACGTAGACAAATACATACACGTGAACAAAGAATGTTATAAATGTTAGCTCAAAGGAAATATAATTTTTAAAGAAGCCTTCTTATTCTAGTGACAGAATGCCAAATTAACCTTTTCTATCCCACAGAACAGTAGAATACAACTTATAGTATTTTGATTTTACTGAACAATGCACTGTCACAGTAGCTCAATATTTTCAGGAATGACACACTACATTATGCACCTACACTCGTGTATTTTTCTGGCTTTTAACATTTAAATTTCACAGGAAGCATGTAAAAATCCCTTGCACAAACTGATAAAGAAATCAGAGTTTACATTAGTGCTGCTTTTGAGGTTCAGGGGTATGCATTTTTGTTTTTGTGTACATGCTAGACTTCTTCAGTTCAAACTTTTCAGGAACTTGTGGGGGTCTTTAGAAATCTGCCTGGAATTTGTTTTTCTAGCTATAAAATGAACAATGTGAAAAAAAACTAACTGTTTAACAAGCAAAGTATAAAAGTTGTCCTTAAGATAAATCTAATTGTGCTAGGCATTGGGGAATACAAGTTATATACCCCTGTAGTTTATTAGGTGTATTTATCAGCCACAAATTATAAATTCACTATCACCTGTATAGATAGATAAATAGAGGTTTACCTGTATGCGTTACAATTACACACATGGGATAACTCTCTCACTGCGATATTGGTATTTCAATAAAACCTTTCAGACGTAAAACTTGTCTATAAACTGCTTGTGCAGAAAATATTCTGCATAAAATACAGTTTGTCAACAGAATTTCTGGCTAAATTTTTTAATTCGCAATTCCACTCATTAGCAAGATGTTCTTTTACCATATAAATATAACAATTTGCTTCAGGGTGGGTGTGTATAATTTTAAGTGATGATATAGATAAAGCAATAATATATGGGTATATTCAAATTTCATACCAACCAATAATGTGATTAATGGTAGCTCTTGTGTTAAGTAATCAACATCACTGTTCAGGCATGTTAATGGTAGACAGCTAAAGAAATTTTTTTCTGACTTGGAAAATTAAATCAATGTGGTCTCTCAGAAGTCTGTTATAACTTTTTAAAGCTCACTGGAATTTTATCTATTTTTGATAATGTCACTAAAGAGCATAAAAAGAGTTGAACACACAAGTGTACTTTTCTTATTAAGAAGGATCTATACACTGTTAATGAAAACAGGTTTCAATATTGAGAAGTATAAAGTTCACACTTGGGGTATGGTAGCTCAGAAAGGCCCGATATTTTATGTACATGGAAAGGAAGAATTGATTCTATTATAAAAAAATAAAATATTTTGATGTTAGGCGATAAAACTCTGAAACTGTATACAAGTGTTTGGCTTTGACGAACACAGTAATCAGAAATATGTTGTACGTAAAATAAAAAAATTAAAAATTAATATTGTAAAAAGACTAGTAAATTTTTATTAACTCATTAACTGCGGATGACGGATATTTCCGTCATTGAAGTTCTATGGCTCAGCTGCGAATGACGTAAATATCCATCAGTCACACATATATAACTATAACTCTATGCAAATAACGAAAATTACCGATTTATTGTGATTGATGGCAACTCAGTTTTATCTGAGAGTCAGAAAATGGAAACTGAGCTGTTCCTGCCGCAGTTAATGGGTTAAAAGTGGTTTTCATCTGAAGTTTCTGCCCCTAACTACAGCACATAAGAAACTATAAGTAATGATATACTATAATAGTTTATGATTATTAAATTTCAACATAGGATAGGCTTAAGATTTGAATTATTATTCTTTTACAGTGAGATTTGAGAGAGATTTGATTCAGGTGTTTATAACTGATAGGGTTGTCTTTATGAATAGTGGAATGAAATAGTGTTGGAAATAAGCCATATGATGTGGTCTATGTTATTCAGTTTAAATTATTTAAATTTTATGGATGAATGGCTATATTTGGTTTTGTTTCATTTAGTGGTTCATGCATGTCCTCATTTTTTTTTTGTTATATTGGCTAATGTAATTTTTTTAAAGGGTGTCAGTATTAGTTATTCATAGTTTAAAAAATACTAGATATGTTTTAGCTCTGCAAAATAGGTTATTTCGTATTGAAACAGAATATCATCAAATCACAGGCAATTTTAAAGTTATAACTTATGCCACTTATGGTTATTAGGTCTCGTACATGAACCCGATTTTTCAAAATTAAAAGACTTTGACACTGAGGCATTAAAACTGTGCTGCTATTTCAACCAAGTATAAAAATACTGACCTTAACATTTTTTGGTAAAAATTGAAATTATTTTGATATATATTCGTGAACCAAGTAACTTGCCATTGCCTTCCAGAAGTTGAACTAAAATTGAAAATTTAGAAGGCCTATATAATATACTTATATAGGCAAATAAAAAATAAGCTCAATTAATAACATTATTCATTGACTTTAACAATAGCTTAATTAAATAAATAGTATAAAAAACGTGTAATATAAATTATAGTAGCACTACTACTTTACTAGTTTACAAAACAATTTTTAAAGTTACAATAATTTTTGAATAAACCTACTTTGGGCTAATATTATTTATTGTTAGTATTACTAATAATATTACTATTACTATTAGTAAAACAAACCAATGAAGTGTGTACAAGTGAATTAATTAAAAGTATTGTGATCAAGATAAAATTGGAAATAAAAAACTTCAATTCAAATACAGCATCAAATCTTTTCGATCAAACAAAAATGATTTTTAATAGATAATACAGTTATAATGTTTATAGTCTTTAATAGTACTATATATAATACAAATTTGACAATTTATAAATTTAGAACTATTAGTATTACTAACCCTAACACGGTAGCACTGGTTTCACTTAAGTTATACTGTTAATAAGTGTTACAGTTACAAAAAACAACTACTACACACTAGAGTAGAAGTTGAATTTGTAGGAATTAGAAATATCAGATACTTACAGCACAATCTGCATAGTTTACTTTTCTTTTCCTAACTCACGTTGGTGCATAACACTGAAAAATACTCAGGATGCTTATCAAACATTACGTTGTATTCGACATAAGAATTTGCCCCCTTTTCTACACTTTACTGCCATCAAATCCCTCAAGTTTTCAAAATCATAGAGTTAAGCACACAAATCTTGAAAAAACCAACTATTAATCCTAAAGCTACTAAAAGTTTATTCAAAAAGTTTTCTTTTACTAAACTTCGAACATTTTCCTTGTTTTGCTACAAATAAACCCAGTCTGATTCACTGTTGTCAAAAATAAAATAGATGAATTAGAAACTGATGAAAATTACATACAGTCAGCTTTTTTTCTTTTTCTTTTTTTTTTTTTTTTTGCCTTGGTTACAAAAACTTTGCTATTCAAATAAGTTTAAGAAGCAAATTTTAATAAAAATATATTTCTTATAGATAAACATAAAAACATATTATACACAGAACTTACAAAATAAATATGTTAAATAAAACTCACCCAAACCGTTTTATTCGGTTTCCGAAAATAAAGCGATATTGTATACAATAACAGTCGCTTTTATATGTGTGGTATAACTTGTAAAAATATTTCATGCTTTTCTATCTTCTTATAATATTAAAATACTAGTAGAACATGACGAAATTAAACAAATATAGAGCTGTGGTATTTCAAGCAACGGTCTAAAACTAAGAATTATCGATTTCACATTGAAAAATTTTATTATAAAACTTTCTTGTAAACAACATTTTCCATATTTGTTCCTTCCGAGACATACGTTTTTGACTGATCAAATTTACCTACCTGGATATGGCTATGTAGAAGTGATCGTGAGAAAAAAAAATTGGCTAAGCTAAATGCAACCTCAGATGAGAAAACATACATACGTTTTCGAAAATTATCTTACTGTACGACTTATTCTGAATTTATCATTTATGTTCTACATGTGTGGGTTTCACTTAACACATGTTCGAGAAATATTTTAAGTTTATTATATGTGTTTATTTTTAATTAAGCACAAAGCTACATAATGGGCTATCTGTACTCTGTCCACCACGGGTATTGAAACCCGGATTGTAGCGCTGTAAGTCCGCAGACATACCGCTGTGCCACTGAGGGGCTGTTTGTGATATGACGGCGTATGCATTTTCTACCTTCTTATTTTAACCTAGACGTTTTCAAGTTTTGAGTTTGTTCTAAGCTTATGCAATTTGTACATAACGGGTGGTCCAGAAAACCGTTGACTTCGTGGATAAATCCAGTGTTTCCTAATGTTACGTCTCCGTTTGTTAATTAAATTT